GTGTGTGTGTGTGTGTGTGTGTGTGTGTGTGTGTGCGTGTGTGTGTGTGTGTGTGTCTTTCTCTCTCTATATATATATGTATATATAAGTCTATACCATATCATACAGACCAAGCCTGTAACAGCGGCTCCGCCACGCAGCGCTCTGACGGCGTACGCGGACAAACATGACGTCATCATATACGTGGACCGCGTCGCAGCACCCTCTAGGGCCGTATGGATGGCGGCACGAGCGCTGCGCATACCATTTCAGATTAAAGACGACCACGAAATCTTAAACGTAAGCTCGAAATCAATCAATCAATCAATCAAACAACCAGTTATACAGGCGGTAAATCCATCAATTAACCGATCAATCGGTGAATTAATCAGCTATTAAATCAATGATTCAATTAATTTATCAATCACTCATTTCATCAATCAGCTAAACAATCAATTAGCCTAATCAGTCAGTTAGTCATCAGCCAACCAATCCATCAATTAATCAATCAATCAATTGATATCTGACACGATTGATATGTTATTGGGCATGCGAGCTAGCACTCAAGCTGTTTCTCTGTCGACTAGGGCGACCCCTGTCGGTCGTTGCCGCTGATTGATGACAACGGGCTGGTGCTGTGGGACAGGTAAGAATTAAGATGTACAGGTAAGAAATAATATTTACAGGTAAGAAATAATATTTACAGGTAAGAAATAAGATGGGACAGGTAAGAAATAAGATGGGACAGGTAAGAAATAAGATGGGACAGGTAAGAAATAAGATGTACAGGTAAGTAATAAGACAATAAGAAATGAAGAGTGCCGGACAGGGTAAGAAATACAACAATTGGGACACGGGTATAGTATATAAGATGGGAAGTCTAGTAATAGGAGAGCGACATGGTAAGTAAGTAAGATGCCTTAAGGCTAAAGTAAGACAGAGATGGGACAGCGCTAAGACAACTAGAGATACGCTAAGTTCAATAGGGAGATGGGACAGGGCAAGTAATTAAGATGGGACAGGTAAGAATAAGATGTACCATGTAATATCGCTGCGATGCCTAGAATAGAAGTTAATCACGACACGGTATGCCTGCCAACACAATTAATTAATTAAGTAGAATCGGCCACAGATAACTTATCCTAATTAATTAATTCCTCGCTTTGCCGGCGTATTATCTTATAAATTTAAATTAGCCATCATGATCGCTTTTTAAGTTTGTTAATCGCTCTCGCTTTGTATAATCTAATTAATATCCTGTTCGAATTTATAAACTAATTGTCTACCGGCACCTGTTTCTCTCTCTCTCTCTCATCTCTCTCTCTTCTCTCTCTTCTTCACTCTCTCTTCTCTCTCTACCTTTCGCTCTTCTCTCTCTCTCTCTCTCTCTCTCTCTCTTTCTTTCTCATCGTCTCTCTTTGCTTCCTCGCTGATCTACTCTCTTTTGCTTCTCCCTCGTTCTTATTTGCATCTGTCTATCCTTCCCATTTTATATTCTCTTTCTACATGCTCTATCTCTCTCACTCCTCTCTTTATCAATTCTACCTTCTCGTCTTGCGCACTTCTATCTTACTATCTATCTCTCTCTCTCACTCTCTCCTCTCTTCTCTCTTTCTCTCTCTCTCTCTCTCTTTCTTTCTTTATCTCCCTGCAATCTCTCTGGGCTACCCCGCGCCTCTCTCTGCACTTCTCCTTCCTACCCTCTCTCTCTCTCGTGCTCTCTCCTCTTCTTCTCTCTCTCTCTCTCTGCTCCCCTCTCTCTCTCATGCCCTGACTCTTCTCTCTCTCTTTTCTCCGCCTCTACTCACTCTTCTACACCTTCTCTCCCTCTCTCCTCTCCTCTCTCTCATCTCTTCTCTCTCTCATCTCTCCTCTCTCTCTTTTCCGCCTCTATCACTCTCTTCCACCTCTCTCCTCTCTCTCTCTCTCTCTCTCTCTCTCTCTCTCTCTCTCTCTCTCTCTTCCGCCTTCTAGCACTTATTCTCTTCCACCTCTCTCGCTCTCTCTCTCTCTCTGCCTTCTCTCTCTCTCTCTCTCTCTCTCTTCCGCTCTATCACTCTCTTCCACCTCTCTCTCTCTCTTTCTCTCACCAGCCGCGTCATACTGGCGTACTTTGGTAACAAGTTTGGCCGTCACTCGTCTATGGTACCGTCCGATCCCGCCGCCAGGGCGCGCATGGACCAGATGATAGCTTGACGCACACTACTTTACCTGCTCTGTGCTTTGGAGCTTATTGTGTGTAGGTGTGTGTGACGGCGGATGGAGGGACGTTAGGGCGGTTTGGCGGCAGGTGGTAAGCGGCAGGGTGGGGAATGATAGTTATTCTACTTTTTTTACAACCATAGTAATATCGCCTCAGCACGAACATGTTCATGGTAATGCTAGTACAGAACCGGCTAGGTGTCAAGCACTATTCTTAATAGGTTCTGACACCACTAACCATGTATGAATTTGGGTTGAAGTATAAAATATCAAAACCTGCGTTCGACTTACTTTGCGTGAACGAGTGGTGGGCGGAGGAGAGGGAGGTGCGGCGGGCGGGCTGGTGAGGACGGGAATGTGCGCGGTCTGTCTAGCGTTTGACAGCACTTTCCCGTAATTGCCTGTGTTCCACTGCCGCGACCTGGTGTTCGTACCTCCGTGAGTATGTGTGGAGGGATTGATGAGGCGGTGAAAAGGCAGTTTAACGGGCCTGTGGCACGGGAGGAGTCTGTGGTTTGGGCGGGGAGAGGGCTGTGAGTGCGGTAGGGGGGCGTGTGTGAGGGTGGGGTGGTGTGTGAGCTAGGGGTAGGAAAGGGGTATGCGGGTGCCGGGGTAGGTGGAGTCAGAGGTGGGAATGGTGACCGAATTTTCGCCGGAAAAGAACCGAGACAGCGGGCAGAAACAAACAACCGTAACAACAAACAAACAAGAAACAAGAAACAAACAAGAAACAAACAAACAAAGAACCAGAACAGAGGGAGAAACAAACAACGGACGATACCCCCCCCCCACACACACACCACATTTGCGTGCTTCACAAATTTCCATCAATACACAGCAAGCCAAGAGAGTACAAGTGTACCCAGTACATAAACACTCCTCTGAACACCACGGTGGTGCCATCTGGCAGTCACACACACAGCTGGCGCCCTCTCTTCTCGCGCCATAGGCTACGGTACCCGCAGGTGGCCGAGGTACGGCGACCGGACAGTGCCGCCACCCAGCGGGCGCGTCGCTACCTCGACCGACTCGACGAGCTGCTTCAAAAGGAGACCTACGTCGCGGGTCGGGTCGTGACCTTGGCCGACCTCTGCGTGGCGGCGACAGTGGCGCTCCTGGAGGCGGCGAGGATCAGCGTGGCGGGGTTCCGGCACGTGGACGCGTGGGCGACGCGGCTTCGCCTGGAGCTGCCGTACTACGGGGAGTGCAATGCTGCGCTGACGTCGCTGCTGTCACGCGGTCTAGTAGCGCAACCTGGGGGCGGACACCCGCCGCGCGCAGTCTAGTAGCGCAACCTGGGGGCGGACACCCGCTGCGCGCTGCAGAGTAGCGCCACCTGGTGGTGAATACCAGCCGCGCGCTGCAGAGTAGCGCCACCTGGTGTAAATACCTGCCGCACGCAGTCTAGTACCGCCACCTGGGGGCGAACACCTGCTGCGCGCTACAGAGGAGAGCCACCTAGTGGTGAACACCTGTCGTAATCGCTCATCGAGGTTTTCCTGTTCGGAAGATGGAAACGGATCGAATTCTGTCCGGAAACGAATTGGAACGGAATCGGGCAAATTCTTCCACATTGGAACTGGAACTTGGATGGTGGCGCCATCTTTCGGTGTTACCGTAGCGAGGTTTGAGTCGAATGAAGATTAGATGAGAGAAAGACAGAGATCATAAAAGGCGAATCGGTGTTTGTTATCAAAGTTATGTTTTCGAACGATATCATTATCGTTACGAGTGTCGATGTAATCGATTGATACATGATTGATACACGATAAGTACGTTCGATTGATCGCTAGATTTTATGAAGGTAGTAATCAATAGTTGGCTGTTTTACGAATAAACAATTGGATCTACTCACACCATGTAGAGTTTGTGAAGATTTTTTTTTTTGGACATCGTGAGAAGTTTTTCACAGGTGAGAATGTTCACCTGTTGAAATGCGCGTCGAAATCTTTCGGCGCGCTGCGACGCGATTGGCCGACTGGCTAATCGCATTGCTTTAGATGCATCCACGCGATGAAATGTAGTCCCGGGCGATTTAGTGCCCAGAAAGAAAGCTGGTCTTAACATTTTTCTCATCAATTGTTGAGAAAATGGCGAAGTTACAAGTTTCTCACACGCAGTCCATAAAGGTCTGGGGCCCGTTGTCAGAAACTTCCTAAAGTTACGATGTAATTTTATAAGTCTAATGTTAATGTTAAGGGTGTTAGATTTTAATGAGCGCTTGCGCAGAAAACGCATTAAAACTAAACTATCTTTAAAGGAAGCAGTAGCCTCTAGGTTCTCACGGGTTTAGTGTTTCAGCTAATTAGTATAATTTGCGCTACATGTACAAAAGTATTGCAATGGTTCAATCACCATTTGAGAATATTTAAAAAAGACATGTTTTAAAACTAGAAGACTAGTTGATTACAACGACGGTGGCGCCACTCAAAGCTGGCACGATCTGAGAGTTGCGGCAAACCACATTCGCAGCCAACGGGCTCAGAGCGAGTGGTTTTCTCTATTTATTCATTTAAAGCAAAGGATTGTTACATCTGTAAAACGACATATAGTGTTCAGTGTATAATATGGATAAATTTGCCCTAAAATGAATAATGCGTTCGGCTTAAATAGCATTTAGTGTATAAATATAAATTGGCACTTTTTGGATTAGCCCTCGTCATTACCTGCAAAATAAAATGCAAATACCGCAATTATTTTCAGGGTTGGCAGCGTACGGCTCGGCGGTGTCTATGGCGCCGGTTCAAATTTCGTAGCGTTTGAGTGTGTAAATACATTAATTAAGTATGCTGGTGACAATAATACATGTGGGGTTATAGTACGATTGTGTATATACAGTAAGTACAGTGTAGCAGTAAAATCTAGAGGCTACTGTCGCCTTTTTAAGTGAAAACCTACATAACAGGAAATTCATCACAAGGCTGGCTGATTGGATGAGAATCGGACACATAGTTCAAATTCATACCACATTTATTGTAAAGCAATCAACAAAAAAAGTAAAAAATTTTTTAAGCATATTAGATGGCTAACCACATTATATCATATTTGATGAAAAACGACACGGTCTTGAATTTATGTCTGCACAACAAGACAAATTTCTCACACTGTAGGCAATTCTCAGAGACGCGTAAGAGTCGTGTGGTCAGTTGAAAAGTATTTTAAAACGAGACAAATGCCTATATCGGCATTTGTAACTGTTTTGAGACACTTTTGTTTTGCTTGCAAGATAGCGTTAGATAATTATTTTTGACTGTGTTTTTAAAGAAAAACACATGATATTACTCATTAGTATAAATATACATATACTATGATTGATTTCTTAGTCTAAAATGTGTTGATTTCATCCTGAATATAAGTTAGGGAGGGTCTAGACTCTTAGTTAAGAGAAAAGTTTACGAGAATTTTTTAATAACTTAACGAAGTTTCTGGCAACGCTTTAAGAGACAAAAAGTAAATGCTTAAGGTTGAATGTTAAGACAATTTTTTTCTGACACGGCCCTCGCGGTAGCGGCAAAGAAATGTTCAATTGAATGACGGTCCGAATTTTTCTATATAAAACTTGTAAATAATTTTTGTTTGCCATTTTTTTAGCATTAAACAAGTAAGGATACTAACGGGACTAAACGTATCGTCAGAATTCTTACTCTGATAAGATTGTCTTCTCACTAGCTAAAAATCTCAAAAACCTGAGCGATTTCATAATTGTGTTCTCTGACATTAATTGCTTGGCTATGGGCTATGTATGAGTCATGCGAGGTGTATTGTTGACTATAGCGAAAATATGGTGAAAATAAGAAGTATATCTTAGGCGCAAATTTTACCAATAAAAAGTGAACAGAAATCATTATTATTTTGGAAAAGTTGGAAACATTATTTTTAATTTTTACTATTTACGGTGACGTAATCACTAGTAGGGCTAGAAATGTGGATAGAGTGCGCACCGCGCGCGTAGCCACAACGAATTACAGCAACGCAAGTGGAATTCTTTTTTAATAAACAGTACTTTTTTTTATTTTATCATACCGATGTTGAGACGACGTCACAATATAGTTATATATATAATATATATATTTATATTTATATATTAACGTGATACCGTACAGAAACAGGGAGTGCAGTTCGCAGGTAAGCTCAACTTAGGTGCGCCACGCAGCAGCAATTCATGTCGCATCCCGCTGGACATTCCGGACTACCGGTTTCATTTTTTTCTCCGACGTTTCGACACGAACACATCTTTACGTGCAACATGACGTAATCAAACCAAACGCGTGATAACGACGATGACGATAGTAATAATAATAATATAATAATTATAATATAATAATTATAACGGCAGAGAGAAAGTTTCTAGTCTGTCTGTCTATCTGTCTGTCTGTCTGTCTGTCTTATGTCTATGCTGTCTGTCTGTCTGTCTGTCTGTCTGTCTGTCTCGAACGTGTTCGTTTGGCGGGGAGTGTAACTGCTGGTGTAGCTGTGGATCCGCTCTTACTAGACCTAGTAGACAAGTGGTAAGAAGATGAAGAATTGCAGGAGAGGCAACGACGACGACGGCGAGAGAGAGAGAGAGAGAGAGGGAGAGAGAGAGAGAGAGAGAGAGAGAGAGAGAGAGAGAGGGAGAGGGAGAGAGAGAAAGAGAGAGAGAAGGAGAAAGAGAGAGAGAGAGAGAGAGGGAGAGAGAGAGGGAGAGAGAGAGAAAGAGAGAGAGAGAGTGAGAGAAAGAGAGAGAGAGAGAGAGAGAGAAGAGAGAGAGCGAGAGAGAGAGAGAGAAGAGAAGAGATGAAGGAGCGAAAGAGAGAGAGAAATGAGAGGAGAGAGAGAGCATAGAAACAGAAACAATAGAGAGAGGAGAGAAGAGAGAGGAGAGACGAGAGAAGAAGGGGAACTCCGCGACGCGTCGCCTCTTCTGCACCAGGGGGTCGCGGGCACCTGGACTGGCCCCGAGGCAATCTAACCAATCATGCATCCGCAGATGCAGGCACTCTAAATACAATGTGCTTGGGCTACGAAGTGACGCGAACTGTGGCGTGGGCGGAAAGACTTGCTAACCCAGTCCTGCTTCACCATCCAATAGACTCTAGCAACGCAGGTGGCTCTGATCTGCTACGTCCTATGGCATTCAGTCTCCAACTGGACAGCTCTAACCGAGGGTTATGTCCCCTCCTCCTACCACAGCTCCTCCGCTCTCACAACCTCCAAGACCTCGCCTCCGCTCTCACTCACTACTCCCAAGATCTTTTTAAGTTAAGTAGAAAAGTTAGCAAGATGTTAATTAACGTTACGGAAGTTTCTGGCAACGCGTAGAGAAATAGTAATGTGTAAGGTGTAATGTTAAGGACTATTTTTTTCTGATCAACGGGCCCCGCGCTATGCGGCAAAAAGTAAATGTAAATTGACTAGTCACGAATTTTTGCTATAGTAAAACTTTAAAAAGTTTTGTGCCTATTTTGTACATGTAAAAGTTAAGAACTAAGTGGACTAAACGTATCGTTTCAAATGTTACCTGATAAGATTGTTTTCAAGCTAGTTAAAAATCTCAAAAAACCTGAGGATTTCATATGTGTTTCGCTGACAGTTAATTGCTTGCTTAGTGGGCTATGTATGAGTCACGGAGTGTATGTGACGATCGACAATATCGTAAATATAGGAAGTATATGCAGCAATTTTAACCATAAATAACAAAGGGATTACAGGAATCACTTATATTTTTGTGGAAAGAATGGAAACATTATATTAATTTACTATTGTATCGGTGACGTAATCACTTGTAGGGCTTTAGAAAGTGGGGATAGAGTGGCATCCGGCGGCGTAGCCAGACCTGAATACAGCAACGAAGTGATTCTTTTTTAAAAACAGTACTTTTTGTATTGATATATTATCCGGATGTTAGCGTGACGTCACAATATAGTTATATATAATATATATAGTTTATTATTTATATATAGAACGTACAGAAACAGGGAGTGCAGTTCCAGGTCAAAGCTCAACTAGGCGCCACTGCAGCAATTTCATTCGCTCCCGCGACATATCCCGGACTTACGGTTTTCATTTTTTTTTCGCGACGTTTCGAGCACGAACAATCTTTACGTCAACATACGTGAATCACAAAGCGTGGATAACGAGATGACGATGTAATAATTAATAATAGATAATAAATTATAATAATATAATTTTAACGGCAGAGAGAGTTTCATAGTCCTGTCTGTCATATCTTCTGTCTGTCGTCTGTCTATCTATCTGTCTGTCTGTCTGTCTGTCTGTCTCGCGTGTTCGTTTGGGGGAGTGTAAC